GAGTAGTAGTGGGTGGCGGAGTAGTTGGTGGCGGAGTAGTAGTTGGTGGCGGAGTAGTGGGTGGCGGAGTAGTAGTTGGTGGTCGAGTAGTAGTGGGTGGCGGAGTAGTTGGTGACGGAGTAGTAGTTGGTGGCCGAGTAGTAGTGGGTGGCGGAGTAGTAGTTGGTGGCCGAGTAGTAGTGAGTGGCGGAGTAGTAGTTGGTGGCCGAGTAGTAGTTGGTGACCGAGTAGTAGTTGGTGGCTGAGTAGTAGTGGGTGGCCGAGTAGTAGTTGGTGGCTGAGTAGTAGTTGGTGACCGAGTAGTAGTGGATGGCGGAGTAGTGGGTGGCGGAGTAGTAGTTGGTGGTCGAGTAGTAGTGGGTGGCGGAGTAGTTGGTGACGGAGTAGTAGTTGGTGGCCGAGTAGTAGTGGGTGGCGGAGTAGTAGTTGGTGGCCGAGTAGTAGTGGGTGGCGGAGTAGTAGTTGGTGGCCGAGTAGTAGTTGGTGGCGGAGTAGTAGTTGGTGGCCGAGTAGTAGTTGGTGACCGAGTAGTAGTTGGTGGCTGAGTAGTAGTTGGTGACCGAGTAGTAGTTGGTGGCTGAGTAGTAGTTGGTGACCGAGTAGTAGTTGGTGGCTGAGTAGTAGTTGGTGACCGAGTAGTAGTTGGTGGCTGAGTAGTAGTTGGTGACCGAGTAGTAGTTGGTGGCTGAGTAGTAGTTGGTGACCGAGTAGTAGTTGGTGGCTGAGTAGTAGTTGGTGACCGAGTAGTAGTTGGTGGCTGAGTAGTAGTTGGTGACCGAGTAGTAGTTGGTGGCTGAGTAGTAGTTGGTGACCGAGTAGTAGTGGATGGCGGAGTAGTGGGTGGCGGAGTAGTAGTTGGTGGTCGAGTAGTAGTGGGTGGCGGAGTAGTTGGTGACGGAGTAGTAGTTGGTGGCCGAGTAGTAGTGGGTGGCGGAGTAGTAGTTGGTGACCGAGTAGTAGTGGGTGGCGGAGTAGTAGTTGGTGGCCGAGTAGTAGTGGGTGGCGGAGTAGTAGTTGGTGGCGGAGTAGTAGTGGGTGGCGGAGTAGTAGTGGGTGGCGGAGTAGTAGTTGGTGGCGGAGTCACGGTAGTGGGTGGTGGTAATGCTGGCCATGATGCTGGGTCATCACTCACTGCGTATGTTGGTTCGGTATCTTGCTGTGAAGTAGGTGGTAAAGAGATGAGGGCAGTATAAGGTAAGGCGTCGAATGTGGTGGCGTCGTAGTGGGTGGCGTCGAAGTGGGTGGAGTAGTTGGTGGCGTTATAGTGGGTGGAGTAGTTGGTGGCGTCGTAGTGGGTGGAGTAGTGGTTCTGATGAGGGAAATTCCAGCAAGAAGATCGTTGACAACACGGTCTGTTCCCTTGAAACTAATGTGGAGACCATCTCTGCCAAGTAGATGTTCTTGTATCTGTCCTTTCCGAGCGAATGCCGAGTGTGGGATGTAGTGAAGGTTGTGGATGCTGTCTGCTAAAGTCCTCAGGGCTGTGTTGATTTGTCGAGCCTTGCTGTTGACGGATGAGATGAATCTTGGCCGTGGGTTGGCGTCTTCCCAACGCGAATCAATCCTGGGCAGCAAGCCAGATATAGCTACCTGGATCCTCGGTGAAACGGACCAAATTCTCTCACACAGCAGCTAAAACCGCTTGAGGATGATGGGAACTGAATCGTTATGGAGGTTGTTAGCACCACAATGTAAGACAATATTGTCAAAATTGGGCACTAACTCCTCAATCTCGTCCCACATCTCCTCAATGCGGTAGCCACTACGGGAGATGACGAAGATGTCATCACTAGGACGCAAGTACCTGTGGAAATACTTCGCCTGTGAATGACCTGCTAACAGAGTGGACATGATGAGCACTTGAGTTATGGGTTTCAGAGCACTATGTATCAATATGTAAATATTGTGGTTTAGGTAGGGGAGATTCATCTATATATACTGGATTGGTAAACTTGAACACAGTTCAGAGGCATATGAACTATTTCATTGGCCAATTTCAACAAGCACTAGGCATTTTAATATAACCATAATGTGATCACCCATCACTTAAACTCCTCCTAATCCGCAACCTCAACAAGGTAATTTATATTTGGATCATAATATAATTATTCTGTAATTAGTATACAATTGCCTTTTTAGTAAACAGTCATCGACCACTAGAAGCTAAAGGTGTGAATTAACCATTACATGAAGTCTATACACCGGCTGCGGTCGCTATTCACCGGTGGCGTGGCGTTTTGTTTTAGCAAATGTGATAGCGTGGATCGTCTTAAAATGGCGTCCGCAGATTTCATTGTAGTTCATTCCGGCCACCACTTTTGCATCGAGTTTGTAATGTATATTAATAAAAGTTATATCAGCTTAAAGATTATAAAATTATCTTGCTTAGAGTGGTCACCGAACACCGGCTCTGCGATTAACCAGTAATGAGTAAAAAAACCCAGAAAGTTACGAGAAAGTTATACTTTTTTCGTCATTTTTCAAACGATTTCGATTTATTCCGGCCACCACTTTTGCGATTAATATGAAAGATGTGTTTAAACAGTTGGTATCATATTAACAAGTGCAAAATTCCCTTGACCAGAGTGGTCTCCGAACAAAAATCGGTTCAGTACTTTTTGAGATATGAGTATTTATTAGAACGAAAACAGTTGAAAATATTGCCATTTTTATTTCATAGTGGTTCATTCCGGCCACCACTTTCACTTCCAATATTAAATAATGGTACGCATAACTTATATCATTATGACGGGTATAAAATTATCTTTCCTAGACTGGTCTCCGAATAAAAATCCAAAACGTATTGAGGGAGATACAGACTAATATATACAATAAATCAACAAAAAACTCTCCACGCCTGAGTGCATTCCGGGTTTTGTACTCGCCCCTTCCGTACCCGTGCTAAGGGGACATCACTCCGTCAAGACTCGTGCTAAATATGCATAATATGTAAAAAAAAAACTTTTAATACAACTATTTCATTATTTCTTTTTCATTTAATAATCTGTATTTTTTTTACATGTAATGAATAAGAGAATAATCCCTTATCACAACACATCAAACGCCACAAGCTTATAAGATGATTCGAGGAAAGGTTATATTCGGATATCCGTTAAGCGTCTTTACAATAACGATTTCCGCATTGCTAACCTTTGCGCATTTTCTCGTCCTTTTCAAACACCGTACAGACGCAGACGTAAGCGTGAGGCATTTTGGAAATTCTGCTTCGTCTGATGAAATGGTTATTTTCACTTTCTATTGGCATTTATAGATCAAGTGGTCTGTCAGTCATTACATATAACAGTTTTCAGGCATCCTATCCTTCTTCAATACAAAGCATTTATTGTGGCGTGACTAAGTCATTGTTTGGCACATACCGGCATCAGTCAATTTCGCCCTCAAGTTCAACGGTAACTGTATTTTGTCGTAACTTCCGAGTAGGTATGCCAGACAAAAAACCTTTCCAGCGTCTTCCACTGGATGCTTGTCCGGTCAACTATAGCATCCGTCTACAGCCAAATTTGAAGTCCTTTACATTTGATGGATTGGAAGATATCCAGCTCAAGGTTTGTATAACAACTGGGACTGTCTTTGCAATGCGGGAATCTATATAAAATATAATTGTATTCCGGGGGCAGGGGAGGAGTGTGCTTCAAATAGTTAGGCCAGCTCTGATAGACGCTTGAACAAGTTGCGAATACTCGTAACTTTCCGAAACTGTCTCGTATCTGCGGGATTCTGTTACAAACGATGAACAGCAACAGGTATTTGCATCCCTTATTCCCTCTCACTGATGGTCAGACCGGGATATAAAAAAATAACTTTACCAAAAGAATAAACACATATCACACAATTACAATACACAAACAACTTTCAGTGCATGTTATCATTGTTAGCGATTGATCAGGTTGGGCACAACAGAGCATATGGGTAATAATCCTGCATTTGGGTAACAGTTACCCATTTGCAGTATCATCTAGTCATCAGTTTCCGCGCGTTTTGTATTTCCGTACAGCCATTTTATCAAGCTATATCTCGTAACTACGTGACCTGCTGGACACAACACAAGGATATTTTAGACGTTTGGCCATCGTCTGTAAACTGACACAAAAATTACCGGAAGTTTGTCAGAAAGAAGTAATCGCCGATTAAAAAAACACGCATAAATATGCAGTTTTGCTTAGTGCACTTTTTATCTTGCTCAAAATGAGCCCATACCTCATAAAACAGTGATATATTTCATTCATGAACCGGTCTGTTTTGTAGTCTGACAAACGTACGAAAATGTCGTATGAAAATGAGGCCACATCTCCTCGACGATTTTTTCCTCTTCCGAAGAGCCATGGAGACATTCTTATATCGATAAACAGTGTTTTTAATGCAACGTAAACCTTGTAATGCAATGAACTTCCAATTTTAAACAGAACAAAATGAGAAATAACTTACCATCAACCAAAACCGATATAAAACTGCAGAAAAAAAATAAATAACAGATTCTATATTGTAACTAAATAAATATAATAAATAATTTTAAAAAAATTACATAAATTCGTTCAATTTGACATCTTGAAAAATCAATGAAAAATGTCAAATTTAAAAAAAGTTGTTTTGATTATTAATTTGACGATCAAAGATATATATTTTTTATTCCAAACAAAGCTTTTGTTCTTGCAGGTCACTGTAGAGAATTTCTTTTTAGTGTATTCAAGTTATCTTTCTTTGAACACTTAATCATATGATGGCTACTTCTGACGGGAGAAATTTGTTAAAAATTGTTTGTTCTGATTTTTTTTAAATACAGTTTTATGTTGCTAGTTTTTGTTTCCATTTGTAGATTGTATACATGTTTATGACAGTCATCAGTAATTTCAACAGTTTTCTGCCGATATGAGTACGAAATCGCGGATGCTTCTTAAGTGCGCCGAAACCGGTAACCCCAGGCTAGGATATTATAACAATTTCATTACTCAGATATTTATAAAAAATAACTTTACCAAAAGAAAAAACACATATCATTACATTATAACAGTTTTTCGGCCATCCTATCCTTCTTCAATACAAAGCATTTATTGTGGCGTGACTAAATCATTGTTTGGCACATACCAGCATCAGTCAATTTCGGTAAAGTGAAATAAAAACACATGAAGTTCTTTTAAACACCCAGAGCAAAAAAGGGGGTCATTCTTTCAACATCTCAAATAAATAATATAATGAGGTACAATTGTGCACAAAAATATATGTTAATTCAGTTGTCTAAATGTTTGTGAAAATGACAAATTGTATCGCCTCCATTGCTTATAGTGTTCTGTAGAGCAGCTATAAATAGCACACCGAAAAAAAAATCATGCTCACCTGTCAATTTGCACTGGATGATCCAATTGACTACACACTGAAGTCAATGGAGAGCAAAGTCAGTGATATGGTTTGTCATTTTTGCAAAATGTTAGACATCCGAACCTTTTGTGAACAAATATACTTCATTGTGTTATATATTGGATTTAATTGAAAGAATAATGCCCTTTTTTACTCCCAGTGTTTAAAAGATCTTAATGTTTTATTTTCACTTTATTCACCATCTGTGTAATAAAATTGTTACTGCAAATCGGTAACTGTTACCCAAATACAGGATTATTACCCATATGGGCTGTTGTGCCCATCTTGTTGAAGCATCCTCCTAAAGAAAATACAAAGCTTTGGTTTGCTTTTCATTTGTTTTGTTCCAAATTTAAACAGCTTGACGAGAGTTTTCAGTATATGAAATAGAGAAAGACCGAGAGGTTTAAGATTCATGGTTTCTTGTGAGCCTTTACAAAGACTTGTAAGGCCTGCTATATCATTTGCTGGTCTGCTGAGATTTATTCTTAAAGATGTTACAGGTAAACCATGGGCAAACTGGTTTGCCATTATAAACAGACCCCTGGGACCAAATCTGCACCAGTGGTATATTGCTTATCTTCAGAAAAACATTGATGGCAAATTGAGCGGCTATATTTCACATGCTGAAGTTAGCTGCTTATTACCTGCCTTCATGCAAAAGCTTCCATCATCATGCAACACCTCAGATCATATTATTGGAGAAGGAAGTCTGTTTGATGAAAGTGCCACACATTTTCAGATATGCCAACTACCAAGGAACTTGATGATCCCCAACATTGCCTCCATATTTAAGAATTGAGTCTCGTCCACTTAGCAGTCCATGTTGAATAATTCAACGAGGACCCCAGACTTATTGTTAGCATATATGCTGAACCACTAAGGCACTTAGATCAATCACAGAGTGCGAGACTCAACCACGGCCTTATCTTCCAATACAAAAATGTTCCAATGTAGCTACATATAGTCTAACAGACTTTCTTTTGCACCAGCTGTGAGAATATATTTATTCATGATGTGCTGTACTATAGTATTGTCACTTACTCTGATGTGATCTCTCTGCTTCATATCTCTCCATTTTGACCATTTATTTTTTGCATAAGAATATTTACAGACGATTGAGGAAGAGAACAAAGGGTTCATGCATCTCTTTTGAATTCCAGGTCAAGAAATCGCTGACATCCATCACCTTGAATTGCTGTGACATTGATGTGAAGGAAGCAAGCTATCAGGCAGATGGTGGGTTTAATGTGTTTCCTGTTTTATTAAGGTTTTATTACACAGCTATATATGCAAGGTCAGGATACAGTCTACAAGTTCTAAACTTCTGCCAACTATTTGTCAATCTTAAAAGCACAAGAAAAGAAAAAGCAATCTTGGCTCAGGTGCAATGCTGTGAGTTTGATTCCATGAAACTGATGCCTTATCAAAACATGTTACATTTTACTACATGTATACACAGGTCATATTACATGTATCTACTGTGATCTTTGAATGAGACAAACAAATTTTACTAAGTGTTCCGTTTGTACACCCAAGAATTGACCTTTATGTTTTTATTGAGTGAAAAATATTGCAGAAAACATTTAAAAATAATATGTTTCATTAAATTAATCCAGTTAAATCATCACATAAGTGATTTTAATTCGTTAAATAAGTTTTTTTAAGCAACCATAAGTCATAAAGAATTGTTAATTGGCAAGAAAATAATGTCAGATATGGTTGATTAATCTGACATTATTGATTATAATGGTAGTGAAAATTATCATAAGTGGCATAGAAATATTAATTATCATAAAATACATGTATAGATATTTTCAATAACTTGGCTATGGAACATTTATCTCTTTTAGGAGATTCTTCAGAAACCTTTACAACATGTTTATTATTTGCCCAAATTAAGACAAAAAATGAACAACCCAGCAACAGACCATCAGATCTCAAGTGTTTTCTGGTAGCACTTTAACACCTAAGACTACCTAAGCCCACAATTAAAGGCGAATAATATCTTTAAAATTTAACTTTTCAACCTAATTTATTTTCCACAATTCCTGTGTCAAGAAAATGAGATAAAGTTTGATTTTTCTCTCTTTCGAAAAGAATTAAAAACGTTCTGGTGGAAATTTTCAGCATTTTAATTTAAGTCATATATTTTCTTATAATTAAAGCTATATCATCTGAAGGTATTACAAAAATATCATAATATGGATTAAATTATAAACATGATGTATAACAAAATTTTAATTTAACAGAGTACTCTGTATTTCTCAATATTTTTGAAGTGTGATACTATTCAACATGATGTTAAATCATAACATCATATTGAATAGTATCGCACTTGATTTTAAATGGATGATTTTAATGGATGGCCTATCCGTAACGGTTGAAGGCCGAGAAATTATGGCCACTGTTTAAAATAATTGGCTACTACCGGGTAATTTGTTAGGTCCAGGGTGAGCCCTGACCTGAGTCACACTGAATGTTATGAAGGTCTCCTAGCAAACAAGCTAACAGTAACTCGTATCTACTATGTACAGGATGTTATATAATTTCCTTTAGTGGAACCATTGACTACTCTAACATTTTTGTAAAGAATGATTAAAACATATGTAGATGATTCATCCCCCAAGGTGAAAGAAACATGATATGTATCACAAAATAAGGAATATTCTGTTTATGATATTTTTAGCTCACCATCATCTGATGGTGGGCTGATCATGAAATCGCCCTTCACCCGTGGTCTGTCCTTAAACAGGTCTCGTTATCAGTCTTTGTCAAATTTCATATAAAGGTTCCCCTTGGTCAATAGTTTTGCATATTTCATTTTGGGAAATACAAGTTGGCCACCAGGTAGCCATCTTGGATTTTGAGAGTTTAAGTTTGTTATTACTATTTCTCAAAAAGTAAACAATAAACTCAATTTTAAAGGATACTCTCAAACCCAGTGGTATGGAAATGTGAATCCAAAGTTACCACAAGATGCATCTACAGTTGACAAGACTAGGAATCCAACAAAAGAGAAAAGAAGAAACTTACATAAAACAAATTAAGATCTTATGATGACGAGTGCCAAGATCCCTCTGGGATCATTTGAACTGTCAATGACAGTCTTGTTACTGAATTAAAACACAGAAAACTTATTGCCATAGCCACAGGAATATCAAATATTAACCTTCTTTGTCTTTACCTTTCTACTTCAGGATCAGCTGACAAGATCAAAGGGGAGATTTCCTATACAAAAGAAGATGAAATAGTTAAATTTTCATTCCCATCTGAAATTCAGGTAAACTTAACAGGACAATTCCATGTAGATATAATCTATGATGTATTTACTTGGTTTATATTTGTTTTGGCATAAGTTTAAGCTTTACATAGGGATCAAGTTTTGTATAGTCTCAAATAAGCTGAAGCTGTTCAATGGGTAAACACTATGTTCAATTTGTTGTTCAAAAATGTACTGTTTATTCACATGCTTTGTGGACATAGCTGTGGATAAATAATGTTCTTGTGGTCTTGAGTATATAGAAATTAGTAAACATTTACAGTTAAATGTGAATCCCTGTCATTATTATACTGTTTCTTATTTAATGTTCATCGTTATAACCTTTGATTTCAATAAGCATATGAGCAGGGCCACGGTGTCCTGCGAAATATGTTATATCACGTTAATGCAGAAGTAATATTTTCAGAAATTGGTGTTTGGTCTTGAAAATCACTTTAGGATATAGATTATATTCCATATGTTTGGATTTCGTTTAAGAAAAGTTAGTTTCAACTCATATTTCTTCAAAATATCAAATGTGCTGGTCTCCCTGCACAGATATGCATCTTCTTGATCATTTTGTTGGTCAGGATAAACAAATTATGTTGGGTGTTATTATTTTACCATAGTAAGATCATAAACATGAATACTATAAGGATGTGTAAACATTAAGAAGACTGTTAATTAATCAAATACTACTAGGAAAATGTCAAGGGTGTAACAGGACACTATTGACATTTTATTTACCTACGTAAATCTTGTTCAACGTACAATTGAGGTCAACATGCTTGGACAGTTACATTGAAGGATTGTAGAATAACATTTCTGTAAATGAGTTGCCTAAAAAACAAAGTACAAAAGGTTTTTTTTCTAGATTAGTGTTCCACGTTACATCTGGGAACAATTTTTATACAGGTAAACCTCTGTTACTTCTAATGTGGGTCATCACCTTCCATGGGTATTTTGATAGAAGGTCATAGTGCTTTTTTCTCTTGTGTTATTGACCATTTTCTCATCAAATTATTTTTGTCTTTGCTTTCAGCCAATATTTCGTTTCAGATAATCAAATTTCTCCCACAACCTCTAATCATGGGATAAACCTACGAAAGCATATAAGGGTCACATGGAAAAAAATAATTAAGTCTTTATGACAACTTAGTATCTCCTAATAACGACATAGTTTTTCACAAACACATCTTGTTTTAAAATACTTTTATTAAGTTTTAACTGTTTTTATATAGCACAGTTCATCATCTGCGTCTGCGGGAACATCCTGGCACATTCTTCATCGTAATCAGATTATAGCACAGTTCATCAGTCGACTTGCCAACAAGTATCTTCCTCTTTGGAGTGTTTCCTTGGCTGTCTTTCACCTCACCATTTTCCCATTTTCTCCATGAAACTTGATGATGGGGAAGATTCCTGAATAGATCCTGTAACTGTTTCACCCCACACTTGCTGCATTTTCTATTAATACACCCCATGATTCCAAAGGACATATTTAAATTGTCACACAAAGTTATGTTTGACAATTCAGATTTGTCTTTTGGAATTTGGTTTGAATGTGACTTCAGACTGCTTATCTTCATCTCAATGTTTGTGCAATACTCACATAAGCAAGCATTACATTTATTATGGTTTACCGTCGAGCAATGCTTGGGTCTATATCGTTTGAGCGTGGAGAGTGAACCTTTGTTTCCAAGGGCAAGGTAGTCTTTATGTAGACTTGTTACTGTTTTCCCAAGAACAATCTTTTGGGTGAAGTCCTTTCCACTCACAGATCTTTTGTTGGGCAGGATTACATATGTATGATGTGATTGGAAGAAGTCCCTCATTTCAATTATGTCATCATTTGTGAGGCCTCCTCCCCTCGGAATCGATTCTAGTGTAGTTGACTACTTCTTCCAGAAGTACCAGCTGATTTCTAGTTCTTTTCTTGTCGCCAACTTATACTTGCTTTTTACCGACATGACTGATCGTACCAACCATCGGCAGCGCTTCATTTAAGGGGTTTTCCTGCTTTTCTTTAATTTCTGTATTGCTGCCCTCAAGTTTTTCACTATTCCTTCTTGGACTCTAGCCTTCTCCTGCTTTTGTTTACATTGACACGATGCGTCATTTTTTCCAGACAATTTACGCCTCTGATAATGTGTTTTTCGTTCAGCCGTCTTTTCCCCTGAGGAGTCAACTTTTTCCGTTGCATAAGTTTCTGGTCCCTCCACTGCTTCCTTTGTTTTTCTCTTTTATTCCTTGTTGTGGCTTTCTTTGCACCTCTCCTCTCCCTCACTGCACGCATCCTGATCTTACTGTTTTCCGCTTGTTGTTGGGTTTTTTTCCTGCGATAAGTTCTTACGGTAATTACGAGCTCTAGCAGCATCGTTTATATTTATTGTAATTGGCTGGTTTACTCATCATTTCTTTCCGGTTATTTCTGTACTGTCTCCTTCTTTCATCCTTTTGCTTTCTTTTCTTCTCTATGTCCTTTTCTTTGCCTGCACGTTATGGTACATTTATCCCTGCAAAATATAAATATGAAACAAGATGAGTTTTCATTACTAATTCATGTATACATAAAGAACATAAACAATCACACTTATTTTATATAGATCCCTCTATATATAATAGAAGATTCTAACAAAGACTTTCTCATTAGCTCCGTTACTCCATTAGGGAAAATATGACTACACAACTTAGAGACCCATGAGCCTTAATAGGCAGACATGGGGTAATTGAAAATGTAATGGTTAATACATATTTTCATGTAATTTGTAATTGGTGATAAATTCAAACATGTAATAGTAATTTAATTAATTACATTGAAAAATGCATGTAATTAATTACTAATTGCCATTCAATTCCAAACAATTTAATGATGTAAAATATATTGTTTAATTTATGTAATTGAACCCGTGCCTGTTTATAGCACACCTGGTTATTTAATTTTAATTCAAAATTGGAAAACGTATATGTGTCCGACATAAATGCACTCTTGACCTATAAATACAGTGACCTTGACAACCTGATATAACTCATCCGAGGTATTTACCTGAAACTGACCTTTGTATGATGTTTGATAAATATCCGTCGAGAAATAAAGTTAGTAGAGCCATGGCAAAGAATCGTGAACTGGCTAGACATGGGTAACGCTACAATATTCCCCCCCCCCCCATGTACACACACACACATAAATGTGTTAAGATGAGGAACACCACCACCACCCCCAATTATTTGTTTTGTTTTGGCTTCATTTATGCAACATTGACAATTTTGGTTTCTTCCAGATTTGTTTGAAATCTCTTAACCTGCAGGCGTTAAATGAGGAGTGATTTTAAAGAATTATCTACGTTTCCCATTTAGTGCCTCTACTCCTTAGGAGGGGCTGGGACATGCATGAACCATTCAAATTCCAATTATCATTCAACATCGAGTCCTGACCAAATTTTGTTGAAATCAGCTCAGTCGTTTAGGACTATTTGAGTTTTAAACTTAAAGGAAAAGTTTACGAAGGACAGTTTAGATTAGGGGGTAATGATAAAGTAATCGAATCGACTAAATAGTAAAGACCAATTAGGGGATAATCCTCCTTTGTTTTGGGGCGGTATATCATGATTATACTGTCGCAAATTGAGTTTTACCGGTGACGCGGAGTTTTGATTCCTGGTTACATCTCATAATAAAAATGTTGATTTATTTGTATAAAAATCTTTTGACCCTGTCTGTGACCAAATAAAATCCTGGAAGGAAAACAATTATCTATAACCCTATAATGGAAAGTTGTCTGATCACCACGAACAGCAAGCAATGAGTTCAAACAGAAAAGATGTAACAGGAAAATGGATTTTTTTGCATACCTGTTACATCACATTCTCATTTCTTGATTCCTGGTTACATCTACATTGCAATTGTTCTCAATTCGTTAAAATAAATCGGAAACATGAATTATGCGTAATTTATACAATTATATGTCTTGCTGTCTATGTGTAGTCGACACCATTTATTGATATAACCACTCCAGAAATAGCAATACAATTCAAACAGAAAAGATGTAACAGGAATGTGAAGCGTCTGTGTACTTGTTACATCACAATTTCAATCCCAGTTAAAAAGCAGTTTCCAGTTACATCTAATAATGCGGATGCCCATCCGATATATCCTAGGAACTTGAAAGGGGTTATATCAATAACAAATGTTGACAACAGTCATTTAACAGATTACTTATTGTTTTGTAAACAACATTTCTCATTATATATTCAGATATAAATTACTACGTGAAAAGATGTGACAGGAACGTGAACCTTTTGTATCCGTGTTACATCACATTTTCAAAATTTGGTTACTTGTTACGTCTTTTCCAAAGGTTCGTCAGTAATGACTATACTTGACAGGATAAGATTTGATCATCATCTATCGATGTTTTCTGATGAAATGGGGAGACTAATTGACCATACATCACAGTGGTTTTATTCAATCAAGATGTTGTCGGTCATTCCCATTACAACGACGTAAGTAACACAGAAACCAGCTGCTTCGATTCGTAAATATTGACATCTGAATGAAAGAAAATTAACATTTTGCTGTTATCTCAGTAAGTGTTCTTTAACACATATAGATAAATGGTGAAAAAGTAATATCCAGTGCTAAAGTTCACTTAGTATACACCTGTCATATTATAACCGTGACGTAACTAGAAGAAAATATAACAACTTACTTGACTGCAACAGCTACATCGGCCTCCATCTTGTTTCTGCAGAGTTCTTCGAAACCACGTGATGTATACACTAACGGAAAACGGTCCACATCTCTTCATGTCGTAATCAAAACCAGACTGTCGTTTGACGAGACAATTTGAAATTGATTTGTTTAATGCATTGCCAAGACGTAACAACCGGAACCCAACTTAAAATCATCGATCAGAATGTTGTTTAAATTATATTAGAACAGATTTTTTTTTACGACACCCAATGAAAGATTGTTGGTGGAGGGTCACACGTTTCACAGCAAGTAATTAACTAGCAGATATTGCAGCCCCCGACTACAAAAACTTATACTTTACCAAGACGTAACATTCGGAAACGAAAGTTACGTCTTGTGAGCAGAAATATTTATTCTTTTTAGTGCCAAATGTGAATCAAATAAACATGTTTACATTGTTTTATACAAGATATGGGAACATTTGAAAGTATAAATATACCACCCAGTCACTGACACGGTTGAAATTACCTGAGATTTTTTTTTTTTAAAAGTCCCTGTGACAAAGAACACCAAACACCAACACAGAATGAGATGGACACAACAGAAGATATCTCATTATTTTTCAATTTAAAAAAAACAACTTAACTTTCGCACTGCATGAAAATCTATTAAAACAACATCCTTTGAATAGCTTTTTCAATAGATATTTCAAAGAATATTGTGATGTAACTGATTTTGCATGACACCATGGCCCTGCTCATATAATGCCTGGTATAATATGTATGATTACTAAAACAGGATACTTCAAATAACAATAAATTCTAGCATTTTCCTAGAACTTGTAAGTTTTCATTTTTGTACATCAACCATTAATTAACTTCTTCGCTTTTACAAAATTTATGACATATGTGAAAATTCTCTGTAATGATGTGGTTGTCTCTTTTCTACAGCCTGGTAATGGAACCTTGTCCGTATCATTCGATGGAGAGTTGAATGACAAGATGAAGGGTTTCTATCGCAGCAAGTATACTTCCCCTGACGGGGAGGAGAGGATTGGAGCAGTCACACAGTTTGAGGTTAGTACCATCAAACTCATAAAGCAGGCCCCTGGTGCCTTTTGTTTTACACAAGAATCACTCGCATCACAATCACTCTTTGGGAGTTGCTTGATAAATTGTTGAAACTTACTGGGTTTGTGTACACTGGGACTCAGAGAATACAGTATGTTCCACATGCAGGTCTAAGCCAAGGTCCAAGGGCAAAACCTTATGGTGTATCTTAGTAAGCTCTTAATCACTTATTTCTTCCATGCGTAAGCATGCTGCTTACATATTGTATAAGTATAACCGTGCCGTCCAGTCGTTAACACTTTTTCTCGTCATCACTGTCCTGTCTTCATTGAAAGGCGTTTTAGATAAAACATAGTTTAATTTTTAATCAATGAAACCAGTAATTTTCTAAACAATTTGTTACAAGTGTTTGCAATAAAAGTCTTTGTTGTAGAAATTTGTATATATATATAATGTTCTGGTTGGATGTTTTGTATGTAGGCGACAGATGCCAGGCGGGCTTTCCCCTGCTGGGATGAACCTGCTGTGAAAGCAACATTTGATGTGACCTTGGTGGTCCCCAATGACAGAGTGGCTCTCTCCAACATGGTAAACAGTTGCAGTGGGGTTTTTTCCTCAAGATAATTTGGGATGAGGCCTTTTTGTTTCATTTTGGAAGAAAAAACAGCAATTGGGAAAGAAATTTTCAGGAGTAAACTGCAAATGTCTGGAATAAGTTATAAATATGAATTAGTTTTAATTAGGAATGGGGCCCATTATTGGCCTCAAATTATTAAGTCTTATAAGTATTTCAAATATTTTAAGTAAATAGCTGGACTTTTTAAAACTTTTGCACTTAACTTTTATATATATATATTCTTCCTTGATCAAATTATCTACTTATGTTTGATATATGATTAGATATTAACTTTTTTCTCTTGTTAACTGCTGACAGAGGATATTGTTTTCAATGAGTTGATCTTCTTAATGGCTTCTCGAAAATTAGTATCCCAAATATGACTGGAAAATTCAACATTCTAAGTAGAGAGGTTGATAATTCTATAAACTGTTTTAGCCGGTGAAGTCTGAGTCTCCGCTGGGAGGTGATACTAAGTGGAAGGTTATGACGTATGAGCGCACACCAGTGATGCCCACTTACTTACTGGCGTTTGTGGTTGGAGAGTATGATTTTGTTGAGGCGAGAGACGCTGATGGAGTCCTAATCCGAGTCTACACACCAGTCGGCAAGAAGGAACAGGGCCAATTTGCATTGGATGTATGTACTACTTTCCATATTTTTATACACCAATGAGACTTTGTCATTACATTGGGTGTAAAGAGGGTTTTGATATTATTTCTGAAATTGGGTTTGTTATGTGTTTACAAAAAGAAACATGAATATCTCACAAACTAGTCTGTATTTTTTCATTTTCTTTCTGCAATGATAAATTATTGGCAAACATTATTTTTAATTCTCAAATCGTTCTGGTTTAGAAAAATGTGGCAATATCACAAGAGGTGTTATGAATTTATTTATGAAAAGTTTGAAAAAAAGGTATATCATCTGAAAACTAAATAAAATAATAAAGATAGTTATACAATGTATGATACTTTGATTAGTGGACGGTATAGACATGTGTATTGATTATTACAGGTGGCTGTGAAGACGTTGCCTTTTTATAACAAATATTTCAAAATAGCCTATCCTTTACCCAAAATGGACCTGATCGCGATAGCAGACTTTGCTGCAGGTTAGTTATGTACAGACAGATGTGAAACTGGCTGATTTCAGAAAAGGACGTTTTTACCTGGAACATTTAACTTTCAGCTATTAATTTGGTTAATGGGATTCATTTAAAATCGTTTTCCAGGGAGGATTTTTCTAGTGATGGTTTTATGTTGTGTTTAACACAAAACAATTACATGTGTACATTTACAGGAAACTGACTGATGTCCTGTTAAAATTTTCGATTTATATGAGTTTGAATCAGGGGCGTTTCTAGGATATTTGAAAGAGGGGGGCGTAGAATCAAAAATTGTTTGGACCTTTTTTTTGCTAAAAAAACATAAAATAATTGTGAAATAAATGCACTAATGTAACAGTTCCTGACTTGGAGCATGTATATTTTATAGTTAAAGTGTCGAGGTGTTTATGTTATGCGTACGCCCATTAAGCCCTCACCTGGACCCGCCCCTCGGAATTCTATTGCACTTTTGTAACCATAATTATCATGATGATATTGTGATAATTATTATTAATATTATTATTTATTCATTCCCTGACACCACTAGTGATCAGTGTAAGCTCAGGTCATTGCTGTATTCTGAAAACTGTTAGCATTTTGATGTTCTAAAGAATTTCATTCTGACCATTGGCACATGTAAGATTTGTAGCAATGTGGTCAAACGCTTTGTAGGCAATTTTGATCTTTCGATCAATTTGTTGCAGATGTTTGTGTACTAGGTAATTTTGTCCTATTTGACACCCATCAGTTAATCATTATGTCATTGTCACTTCTAGGTGCTATGGAGAACTGGGGTCTCGTGACATACCGAGAAACAGCTTTGCTCATTGATCCAACAACTTCATCTGCCAAGACTTGTCAGTGGGTTGCCCTGGTGGTGGGACATGAGCTGGCTCATCAGTGGTTTGGAAATCTTGTTACTATGGTACATTTAGATTCCAGAAATTATAAAAACAAAATTAAATGTCTGTTTTCTTCTATGTGTTTCTTTTTCATAATACATTACTTTTTGAGGAAGGTCAATCATGAATTCAAATGTTTATTCGGACACAGATAAAAATAATTAATACAGTTGTGAATTAAAAATCCACTTTAAAATCTCTTTGGCAAAACAATCACATGGAAATATTTTCATGGAAATTAAAGGATTTACACTTAATTCTTTGATATTAGACAAATACCTAATTTTAAAGTATACCCTTTATATGTTTAACAAATTACTGATTATTTTCATGTGTATGTTTATGATTATCATTATAAGTTTTTAGTTCTTCAATTTTGCAATAATTATTCAGATACATTTGCATCTGATATATATAATAATTATATATGATGTATATGATCATTATATCTGATGTATATAATAATTATACATGATGTATATAATAATTATATATCCTACTCTTCCTTTTTCCTATTTTAATCCTTTGAAGTCTAGGTCACCTGAGTCATTGTCGCAAACCAATGTGTGTGACAGAGGGACTATAGAATGAAAGTATATTTGCCATGGTATGATTTCATTTATAAACCTCTGTAGGAATGGTGGACCCATCTGTGGTTGAATGAGGGTTTTGCCTCCTGGATTGAGTACCTGTGTGTCGACCATTGTTTCCCCGAGTTTGACATCTGGACGCAGTTTGTTAATCAGGACTTGGGCCGTGCCCTGGAACTGGATGCCCTTCATAACAGTCACCCTATAGAGGTAAATTGTTGTTTTATCACATACCTGCTCAATCTTTTTATAGTAATACAAGCAATTTTCAGAACATGAAATACAACGGAATGTTGTATATACCTACTTGCCGGAACTACTTTTTATGGGAATGCCCTTGTCGTGGCGAACTGAAAAGTTCCCGGTATTTGCAAAACATATCAAAGTTTATAAAATCTTTGTATTGATCTGTACCAAATACGGAAGGTATGTGATAAAAGCAAGACCACACACTTGTGTTTTTCTAACGAATCAGAAAGCACTCATTTATTGCGCGGACGTATATATTCGTCCGCTCAATAAACTTGTACTTTCTGATTCGTCAGAAAAACACAAGTGTGTGGTCTTGCATATGTATCTCGCTGTTTAAACATGCAGTTAGATTTCACTTTAGTGTTTTTTCTTATTTTTACAATTATCATCTTCATACTGTAAAACAGCTTTCAGTTAATGCTTTTTGTTGAGTGGTCTTTATACAGTAAAAAGCTTTTTGTTGTGTGGTCTTTATACAGTAAAAAGCTTTTTGTTGTGTGGTCTTTATACAGTAAAAAGCTTTTTGTTGTGTGGTCTTTATACAGTAAAAAGCTTTTTGTTGTGTGGTCTTTATACAGTAAAAAGCTTTTTGTTGTGTGGTCTTTATACAGTAAAAAGCTTTTTGTTGTGTGGTCTTTATACAGTAAAAAGCTTTTTGTTGTGTGGTCTTTATACAGTAAAAAGCTTTTTGTTGTGTGGTCTTTATACAGTAAAAAGCTTTTTGTTGTGTGGTCTTTATACAGTAAAAAGCTTTTTGTTGTGTGGTCTTTATACAGTAAAAAGCTTTTTGTTGTGTGGTCTTTATACAGTAAAAAGCTTTTTGTTGTGTGGTCTTTATACAGTAAAAAGCTTTTTGTTGTGTGGTCTTTATACAGTAAAAAGCTTTTTGTTGTGTGGTCTTTATACAGTAAAAAGCTTTTTGTTGTGTGGTCTTTATACAGTAAAAAGCTTTTTGTTGTGTGGTCTTTATACAGTAAAAAGCTTTTTGTTGTGTGGTCTTTATACAGTAAAAAGCTTTTTGTTGTGTGGTCTTTATACAGTAAAAAGCTTTTTGTTGTGTGGTCTTTATACAGTAAAAAGCTTTTTGTTGTGTGGTCTTTATACAGTAAAAAGCTTTTTGTTGTGTGGTCTTTATACAGTAAAAAGCTTTTTGTTGTGTGGTCTTTATACAGTAAAAAGCTTTTTGTTGTGTGGTCTTTATACAGTAAAAAGCTTTTTGTTGTGTGGTCTTTATACAGTAAAAAGCTTTTTGTTGTGTGGTCTTTATACAGTAAAAAGCTTTTTGTTGTGTGGTCTTTATACAGTAAAAAGCTTTTTGTTGTGTGGTCTTTATACAGTAAAAAGCTTTTTGTTGTGTGGTCTTTATACAGTAAAAAGCTTTTTGTTGTGTGGTCTTTATACAGTAAAAAGCTTTTTGTTGTGTGGTCTTTATACAGTAAAAAGCTTTTTGTTGTGTGGTCTTTATACAGTAAAAAGCTTTTTGTTGTGTGGTCTTTATACAGTAAAAAGCTTTTTGTTGTGTGGTCTTTATACAGTAAAAAGCTTTTTGTTGTGTGGTCTTTATACAGTAAAAAGCTTTTTGTTGAGTGGTCTTTATACAGTAAAAAGCTTTTTGTTGAGTGGTCTTTATACAGTAAAAAGCTTTTTGTTGTGTGGTCTTTATACAGTAAAAAGCTTCTTGTTGTGTGGTACGGATAAATATTTTGGTTTGCGCAGTCTTTGTACAGATAAATATTTTGGTTTGCACAGTTTTTGTACAGATAAATATTTTGGTTTGCGCAGTCTTTATACAAATAAATATTTTGGTTTTGTGTGGTCTTTATAGTTAAGAATACAGTTTGTACATTTTTATTTCCACTAGTTATAAAGGACTTGGGATGTTAAGGGTCATTTTTGGCCTCATAACAGTTTAAAAAAATCTCAACTTGAATTTTTTTACCAATTTCTGTTATAAACATCATATTGGTAAATTGGGGCTATCTTTCTTGGTGCAGGTTTTGTTCATTGCACATCCCCTGCTATAGCAATAAAATGACATTGCTATGCAGAAATAGCCAAAAGATGGTGTTTTTAGACAGTTTGCATGCAGCAATTAAGCCAAAGAAAGCCTCCACATGTGACCAACAAAAAGTCTTTTTTACAAATGAGCAATGGTATGACAATGTTTTAGCATGTCAAATATTTATTTGTTTGATGCATGTGGAGACTTTCAAAAATTGAAGAGTGTTTTAAGTTAAAATTTGCCAATTTTCAACCAAATAGCGCACAACAGAAGGTATTAACGCGTTTCATTATAAAATTGTGGGTTAATGGCTCTTTGAAATGCCATATTTCCTAACTAGTTATTGAATGAATCTGAAATTTCATAATTGCGTTCTTTATTTATTACAGATTTTGATTTCAATAACTTTCTATTTATCCCCAGTAAGGATGGAAATGACCCCTAACACCCCTAGTTCTTTATGTTAAATAAGTGACTGAACCATGTTTATATCTTGATGGTCTTGCTAACCCAACTTGATATTCAATATTGAAGGCAATTTGCATAACACACACTCTGCTTGCAATTGCAATTAACTTAATTTGGTTGATGATGGAATTTCAAAAAAGTGTTTCATCTTCCCATATACTTAATGAGAACAATTCTTTTATTATATGACTGTATGACCTTGTACTTACAGGTAGCTGTTGGTCATCCAGATGAAGTAGATGAGATATTTGATGCCATTTCCTACAGCAAGGGAGCGTCTGTCATCAGGATGCTACATGACTATATAGGGGATGAGGTATATACAACTTTGTGTTTATGCTTTCAGTTAACGTTATCAAAAAGATAAACTTGATTGAGAAAAAAGATCTTATTCTCAGACAGCCCCATGTACTTGTAAGCTCCAGAATGTTTAACGGCTTTGGAATTGTTGGGGTTTTATGTTGGGTGTTTGATTTTGGAGTTAAGCATGTATGTCATGTTACCTTACTGTGATTTCAATTGTTTTTCTCTAAAGAGTTCCAAATTAACAGACTAGTAAAATGATGTTTTGTAGAGGGTACATTGAACAATGTTATTTACCTGATGTCAGATTAAAGTCACAGATTGTAGGCATTAATAATATGTCAATTCTGATTTCTTAGATAAGGCTTATTACATGCCTTATAAGGGAGGTAACTTTTAAAATACAGGTTATAAATGTAAGGTAGCATATAACTTTCAATTGCCAGGATGTTGTTAGGATAAAATATGCAGAAGCAATTTTCTGTTTCATGTAATCTTTTAACGTGAAAAAGAGAAAATGTGTAAATGGAGGAATACCAACTTTTACTGTTCTTGATCAAAGTTGTGTACTTGACTTCATACTGAATTGTGTTAGGACCAAGTGCATTAGGATTCTCTGTAAAGTGTATTTAGTATATATTCTTCCTTTGAATCCTTCCGAGGTTAAAGTTTTGGTGCAATTTTTTTCCAGACAGTGTTGGATCATCACACTCAATACACAGTTGTCTAATATGAGATTAAGTCATTTATATCGAGTGTAAGCAATGTGCTGGGCCATATTTTCATATTGTATGGCCCAAAAACAGCTTAATTGGACTTAGTTAAATTTGAGGTTAAAGTTTTTGGGCAAGTTTTTATGTGAAGTGTTGGACCAACACCATCAATAGGCTGTTGTCTATTATAAGGTTGAAGTATTTGTATTGAGTGTAAGCAAAGTGTTGAACCATATTTTCATATTTTAGCGTCCAAAAACAGCTTTATTGGACTTTGTTAATTTCTTAACAATCACTTCACATAGATGTTTCTACACATTTAACGATCCTTGAAATATCCTGGTGGTAAGTGAGGTGGCAAATAAAATGACAGGCACTAAATCAATGTTTTACTATACATGTGTTTCTATTGATAGTTGCAGTATTATAATAACATACATAGGCGAGCTATGCTGTTCTCAGACACATCTTGTTAAACATTTGGTCCTTTTTTTAGGGAAATTAGTCAAATGTATAAAGCGTATTTTAATTCCTCTCCTCATACATTGGTGACCACTGTGTAATGTTTGTTAAGATAATGTTTTTCCTCTCCTAAAACTTTGGTGACCTATTTCTAGGATTTCCGTAAGGGGATGAACCAGTACTTGACCAAATTCCAGTACAGCAATGCCTTTACCGAGGACCTGTGGGACGCCCTGGGGAAAGCAAGTGGTAAACCCGTCAAGGACATCATGTCTACCTGGACACAACAGATGGGCTTCCCCGTCATCAAGGTACTATACTGACAATTATAAAATGATAGTCTTTAAAAGTTATGTAACAGAAGAAATACTGGCAGTGTTGGTGATAGGCTGCAGCATTTACTTGCAAAAAGAAATTCTAGTAACCACATTATAAACAAGAAAAATAGAAATTATAATGTACCAAAGGTTCAAGTTATACGAAAGCAGAAAATTCCGATCAATTATGTTGATAACATGAGTTTTATAAAAAGCAGAATATTTTAATTGAGATCATATTTAGCTGTCAGTATAATAGAAACAAGAAAAATCCTTGGAAAAGTAAGTTACCAGAATTTCATGTCGGTTTGTAAATAAACTGTAACCTCAAATCTTACTAAACAATGTAGTCGTGTAGCAAATTACCTCCCCTGAAAAAACTGAATTTTTATCAACACAGTAAATTTTAACTAAAAAAGGACATGAATGAGGAACTGAATAATACATCAATTGATAACACTTTTTACATATTTCTCTTTGACAGGCTTCAATAAATATCTTGTTTGAAGTTTTTACAAATGCAGAGTTGTTGCAACCCTTAACCTGATATCGGGAAAAAGAGCAGTTAGATAGATGAATGATAGGAAAATCTGAGAGAATTTCTGTCTGAAGAGTTACATTCATTGAGGTTTTGTTTATAACAGGTGGAGGAGAAACAGGAGGGAAACAGTCGCATTTTAACACTGACACAGGAGAAGTTCTGTGCTGATGGTCAACTTCCTGAAGGCAAGATTTCCTGCTGTTTCTATTTTCTGTTCATTTGCACTGGCACCATTATATCGGTCAAAATTTATCAAAGGTGACTTGGTACCCCATACTTTTTAAATTGGTATGAATTCTTCAATGTGACCATGCTTCTTAACAGTCTATTCCTGTTCGATTTTCTTTCTGTTGGGTCTCGTGTTAATGATGATGAGAGTAATGCAGAGTAATAGATGTATACTGTAGACTTCCTTGAGTGGTCACTCAGTATCAAGATATCTTACTAGGTACACTTTTATACAGGCTGTACGTCCAAGTGGTTGACCCCCATCAGTATCTGTAGCAGCAGCAGTCCAGGCTCACCTGTCAAACGCATCCTGATGGAAGACAAAACAACCACTGTTACCCTGGAGAATGTCAAGCCTGGAGACTGGGTCAAGGTCAGTCAGCCAAATCAGGTTCAGCATATCCAAGTCATCGGGTCAATGCTCCTATACAAAGATGTTTCGAGAACTTTCCCTTTAATTGTTGACTGTCTTATGGAAATCAAGTAAAGCCTTATTATATTGCCGCCATTTGTCAACAGAAATTTTGGCATTAAAATGATGAGTTTGGTGATAAATCAGGGAAACGTATGAAAGAATTCTTATGATATTGAGAAAAAGTGACTTTGAAATAAGTTGGTGGTGAGCAAGGTGGCAAATGAAACAAGGGGCTTTATAAGGAGGTTTCTGGTATTTTACTGTTTAATCTAATGTGTGGTTACATACATTTTATGTTATATTAAAACTGATGTTAATCGGATGTACATTACTGTATAATTTGATGTATGGTCACATGTTTTTACTGTACCTTTTAATGTATAGTAAATGTATTTAACTATATAATTTGATGTATGGTCACATTTATTTTTCCAGCTTAATGGTGGCACTGTAGGTGTATATCGGGTTCAGTACACACCTGCTACCCTTGAGGCAATGATCCCTGCGGTGAGAGATCGCACAATCTCTCCCAGAGACAGACTCGGACCACAGAGTGACCTGTTTGCCTTGGTATGTATACAGGGAGACTATAGTGTAGATTGATTAATATATGGCTGTAGATGTTTGGACATGTATTGGGCACAATACACAGGTGAAACATATCAATCCGAATGACTTGTATTACTAGCTCACTGGGTTAGATAGGCCACTATTGCAAGCTTCAACCAATGGGCCCTGTACATATGTTAATTGTGTATCTATAAACTATTTAGGTTTGATCTATCAAAGAATATTGTGGTTTTGTTACCTCTCAACTTGTTGTTGGTGTTGATTTATGTTTTTGCTGCAAGTGTTGATATTCATTATTAATATACTAGGCCAGGGCAGGTATGATATGATTATTGAATGGTTTTTTGTGTCGCCTGCGAAAAGCTGGCGACACACGGCGGCGTCGTCCGAACAGAGGTTTTCGTGTGATAACTTGAGTTTCCTTGGGCCAATCAAACTCAAACTTCATGCAGTGCTTCCTTACCAAAAGTGCTTGCTTTTGATTTTCAGGTCCGAAGGTCAAAGGTCAAGGTCACTGTTACTATAAATAGAAACCTTACTCAAACTTTATACTGGACGGCTTCGATCTACCACTTGACCCACCGTGTATACCTCTGAAATGCTGTCTTACTCCAAATGTTATTGACAACACTAGCTGTTTAACATCAAAATCCACAAGTTTATTCATTTATTTATGGGAAACCATATGACAAATCATACAAATTAAACTTGGAATTGAGACAATGAGTATCCATAGCAAGTTCCTTGAAACTCAGAGTATTCTTCCCAGAATAACAGATTATATAACAAAATGATGTCATCCAAAAACATAATCTATGATTATTGCTTACTTTTAACATTATTTCTTGAGATGAAAAGTGTATCTATTTCTTCGTAATCTCCCAGCTTCCTGCGCAGGCGACACATCCACTTCCGTGGAATTCTTGTTTTAAATATGGCCAAAGCAGGAATGTTATCATCAGTGGATATTGTGCCAGGGGAGGTTTGATGTCACTAGGATCTGTTCATAAGTGGATATTTTGTTTATGAGGTCAGAGCAAGGTATGCTATCAATAGTGGATATTTGATTATTTCTGTTTATTTTGCCAGGGCAGGTGTGAAAGCATTGGTTGATATTTTATTTTATTAGGCCAGGGCAGGCATGGTGTCATCAGTGGATGCCTTTAAGGTGTCCAGTGCCTTTGTGAATGAGAACAACTACACTGTGTGGGTCGACCTGTCCATGAATCTGGGTGGCCAGGGAATGCTGCTCCAGTACACTGATGCTGAACAGGCCTACAAGACCTTCTGCCTTAACCTCTTCAAAAATGTGTACCAGACCATTGGATGGGAGGCTAAGGAGGGAGAAAGTGAGTGAATAGGAGAGCCACGTTGAATCAAATATTGATTTTCAAAAAATGTGTATGGAATCATCGTGTATTTTATGAGTAATTCAATTTCTGAAATACTTGAAAACCGCTTCTTTCCCTGGGCTTGCTTTACTCCAATACCCCATACATCCAATAATTTGCTTGGACTAAACCATGTTGGTATTATCCCCTGTGAAACACGTTTACGATGGGATATGAGATTGGGCTCCTTATTATATTTGTCCATCTATGCATTCCAGGCTACAACTCCATAGCATTCTTTATATCTGTACAAACTTTTTCACATTTATTACGTTAGTACTAAAGATGTGACTATGGCTATTTTGGGATTCTTATTTTCAATATTTTCCTGTTATCATGGATACACCCTGAAATATTTGGTCAGTAGCATGCTGGGATGAAAGGCTTAATGGTTTAGTTCTTGTCAACGACCTTTTGCATTTATTTCATGGGGTAAAATGTGAAAAAACCTTTGTACGACTTCTTTATAGTCAAAAGCCTAGGGTAGTATGAGGTTAGTAGCATGATGGGATAGAGCGCTATCTAGTTTGTTCAAATGAGTGAACTTGACACATTTACAATGTACAAACAGGGGGGATGTGTTAGAATATTTAAACTTATAGTGTTGCAGTGCTTGCTATCAACATTGTTTGACATTGACCTACATCAAAGATCAGAGTTGAGAGATGCTTCAGCTTAATAACAGATAAGCGATACTGGCCCATAAGGCCTCTAGCTCCGGAATAATGAAAAATAATCATGGATTGATACATGTTTGTCTGCATCGATAATGAGGTTGTTCTACAATCCAGGCAATGTTAAGATGACATATATTTCAATTTCTGTACAAATATGTCCCATTCACACAATCTGACCTCATTAACAAAGAGAGAAAGGGCAATTAATTGAGATCAATACTATGTTAGTTAATTAATGATTCTTTAAATTTTAAAAATTGAGTTATGATGTTGACAATTACTTTGTCCCTATAATTTGATGTACTAATAAATAGATTTACCGCATCATAGGTCCTCTGAACGCAATGTTAAGGGACTTGGTGCTGTCCAAGATGGGTCGTTGTGGTGACAGTGATGTGGTGGCGGAGGCTAACAGACGGTTTGAAGCCCATGTGTCTGGAACCACATTACTATCTGCTAACCTGAGGTCACCGGTGAGTATTACATGCCTTGGTGTAGTAAGCAACATGTGCGTATCTGTATATTATATGTATGTTCTTTTTTGTTTTTATTGAAAACTAATTGTTCTGTTTCTTTGTGCTTATACGTTTATTTTAGTAGAGGGAGAGATTTAGAGGTACATGTATTTTTGTACAGCATTTTTTTTGTTTCTATTCTCTCTGCCATTTTGAATGAGGGGTGGGGGCATATAGTGTCTGACTTGTCCCAATTCAGTATCATTGCTTCAGGGACTTATTTTTAACAGATTTTGATAAAACTCTTTACAAATTTAAAGTGTGAGAATACTTTAAATGAGTTCATAATTCAGGGTTCTAAGATCTCTGTAATTAGGTAAAGCTGTAGTATGTTTCGAAAATGTGTTTCGTATTATTAAACATTTTGGGATTTTGTAGGTCTACATTACAGTGTTGTCCAATGGAAATGAGGAAACCTACAACAAAATGCTTCAGGTATGTCATGGATAATATCCTTGTACTGATAATTGATTTTTTCAGGATAAATGTATATATATTTGTGTTAGAGTTGTCTCCCTTTAGTTGTTTTTGAAATCATTCATGGCATAATGGTTATGGTCCATTGTCAAGGTCAGTGTTGAAATCTTTAAGGCAGCCTGGAGTAATTATGTTTGGCCAGTAGAATGACTGGATAAATAGCAATATTGATTGACCTTGGTACAAGTCACAGGAATCTAATGGGTTAAAACTTTTGATACAACTTCTGTTTACCCAAAAGGCTTGGGAGTATACTATTTGGGGATGTATTATGCTGGCATGAAGAGCTATCAAGTTTGTTCTAATAATTTACTGTGACCCACTTTCAAGGTAACAGGGGTCACATGTATTACAACCCTTAAACAAGCTCTTTTAAATGACCCAGAGGCCTAGAGGCATGCTATTTGCCCAGTAGCATGTTTGGATGATAGTTTATCAATTTTGATCAAATAAATGACCTTGACCTACTTCCAAAATTTAAACTTGGTACTTGATGACTTTGTTCTCAGAAAGAGATATAGGGGTTATACTAACTAACAACTTTGTTATGAAATGCAGGAATTGCTTATTTATATATTATCAACTTTTATATGTATATATTACAGTTGTATGATGCAGCCGATATGCAGGAGGAAAAAGTTCGCATCAGCAGATCTCTTGGTTGCATCAAGTCTCCAGAAATCAAAAAGAAAGTTCTTAAGTTTGCCATGTCTGTAAGTCAGCAATGTGTTTTTTCTCTTTTTATAATCAAACTGTATTTCCAAAATTAATAGGTTGAGATATTGTGGAAATTAATCATAGCCACCAATTTTAGACATTTCCTTTGTTTTGGTATTTGAAACATCATTTCAATGCATCAGATTTCCCACTGCAACTACTGTATAACATGAAATATTTGTGGGTATTTTCTTTCGTGACTTGAAGCCATTTAGATAGTTTCGTGCTACAAACTTCCGTGGATATCCCCATATAAACAAAAAGTAGTCAAGTATATCAATTAAAATTTGTTGCATTTGTTTTCATGGTTCCTTAATTAGCCTCCACGAAATTCACGAATGTTTAGATACAGCGAACATTCCATGTTATACAGTAGTATCAGTACCATTTGTATACTCTCACACCATGAATATCATGTCGTGGTTGATATTGTGTGTCCCCAGGAAAAGGTGCGGTCCCAGGACACTGTGTTTGTGATAGCTGGGATCACAGGCTCTGTGGAGGGGCGAGAAATAGCTTGGCAATTTTTACAGGATAACTGGGCCGCTCTTCACGATCGCTACAAGGGTGGCTTCCTCCTGTCAAGGCTTGTCAAGGTAAGAGATACCTTTATCTTTGATTCACAGGATATGTTATATAAAAATTATATAAATTACCAGCATCTCGGAGTCACAGTACCAATAGAACTCTCAACCTAGTGTACAATGTATTATTTCTCATCACCAGATAACATTTCCAAAGTCCAGTTCATCTTAACCTCTAGTATTGAGATTTCACACCCTCAATACTGCTTGTGGATTACCATACACTTCGTGCGCTGCAACAAAAAACACGACAGTGTCCAGGGCTTTCTTTTCAATTAAAAAACTTCCGGTTTTCAGCAAGTTATGTGTTTGACAATCCTCGATATCCAGGGGTTACGTTCACTTACACTCTCTACACCCCTGGGATAGGTCATAGCAAAATTGGTTTTTGACAAGAAGAAATTTTCCTAACATTGATAACAAGAATTTTTGCCATAGCAAGTCCAAATGATTGATGTAATATTGTTTCAGACGACAACTGAGAACTTTGTGACAGAAGAGAGAGCAAAGGATATAGAGGTGAGCTACTTGGATATACTGTGTTAGAGATCTCCCTGAATCGGCTGTCCTAATTTAAGAAACGTTTTTGGACTTCATATTTAACTTTTGAACAACAGCTGTATTTATTTGAACATCCTTTCTAAAACAAAAGGATTTGTACATTGGCTTTAGAATGTCCTTTCTTTCATGGAAAAAAATAATAAATTTCATAATTAATACTGTCACTGTAAAGAATGTTCTCAAGGTTAAAAAGTTAGAAAATGGGACCTGATCTTATTTTATTTTCAAATAAATCTGTATGTCATCAATGTTTTTTCTCTGTAGAAATTCTTTGAGGAACATTCTGCCCCTGCTGCTGAGAGAACCATTCAACAATCTTGTGAAAACATCCGTCTGAATGCTAAATGGATTCAGCGAGACTCCGTTAAAGTCTCAGAGTTCCTGAAAAATTCAAAATGATGAGTTGGCTTAATTCAGAAAGAATTTTCAAATTTTCAAAACCTGTCTCTTAGAATGACATTGAGGTGTTATGATGTTTGTTTAAGGGCAAGCAGTTTATAAAGCTTGTAAAGCACTGAGATTTTTTGTTCATTTGAGAAATTTCTCCATCAGAGTGTTGTATATTTATGTAATTTTACAAAAGTGCTGATCAATTGTACTAGAAATGATGTAATTAAACAGTTATTTATGTATTTACATGTTTAAGCAGTGGGCACTGATTGCCATGAGTTGATCATGATGCTATGGAGATTGGGACTTGTAATGTACACCTTAGACAGCAAATGTGTGATTGAGTATATCATAATCATTTTAGTTCACCTAGCCCAAAGGGCAAACTGAGTTTACGCTGTAGTGCAACGTCTGTCCATCAGACATAAGCTTATTACTTGAAACAACATCTTCATTTCTAAGAGGCCTATAGGGTGATGAAAATTGGCCAGAAGCATGCTGGGATAAGGGCTATTAAGTAGGGGTCAAATGTGTTTCTTCTAATTAAAACACTTAGGGTGTTGATTTTTTGTAAGGAACATTTTCCCTTATAAAATAAAGCTATGAATGTCAGAGAAAATGGTGTTTTTAGGTGATCCACATGTAACAGAAATGATGTGAGGTTGAAAACAGGAACTAGAATTAACTGCTAGAAAGATGTGGTCATGTTTTGGTTTAAAATATGTTTTTATGCAAACATTAAGCTACTTAAACATTATCATGTGTTTTCATTTATTTGTCCTCTGATTCGCTGTTTATCAATTAAGATGAATTGTTTCAAATAACATAAACATTTTAATAAGTAGAATAATTATGCTGTCACAAGATTTTACATTTTAGGACACAGTGACAAAAGTAAATTCTGGAGGCATCATCACCTTCAGTTTTGATTCTAATTTGATCAGAAGCAATGTGAAGTTACAATGTACGCGTGTCACCAAACTCATCGCAAATTATTTCATCTAGTTAAATAATATTTGGTAGCTATATTATGGGTCCAAATTTCTTCAATGGTTTGTTAGCAATATTATATTTTGTAAACTAAATTGATCCAAATACCTCAATTGCTTATTTTATGCAATGATTTTGTCAGCGTTAATACTGAGTTTGTGATTTTGCTCTATAAGTTAATGTAATATGCTTGTTGTACTTACTTCTGCCTTGTTGATTCCCTTGATACCAGCATGAAACTAGGTTCCATTATCCAGAAAATTATCTACCAAAAAGAGCAATTTCTGAATATATGAGTTGTTAGAGGCAAAGAATTTTAATGTGTCTTTTGATGTTATCAACCATAATGGTTTATTTGTCAAACCAAATAAGGTTGACATAAAAAAAATCATCATAAAACCATTTTGCTTTGTTGTGTTAGAATAAAACCAGTTTTCAATAATTCACCTATTAAAGTGGAAAATGCTTATAAAGCCAAAAAACCAGTTTAATCCTATTTGATAACTGAATCTACCACAGCGTAAGAGTCGTTAAGAGTTGTCGCATTGTACATTGATAAAATGAATATACATGTATAATGACTTAATTGTTGTTTTGAATTTGATAAACATCACCACAAATGACTATCATTGACATGTGAAGTGCTAATATGTCAAGTTGTTGATTCATCTCCAAGTAAATGTTGAACTAACTGCACGATTGACTTCCTCTTTTTTTATGTATTACATGTATACAATTATCAAACTCAGCCATGAGAATATAATGTCAAGAAACTGATGTAGTATGAAACTATGTTCTGTTCTTAGTTATATCAGTATAATTAGGAACATGACTACAGATACTTTAAATTCTGTAGTTAGTATTGTTTATGGGGATCTAAGCTAGATTTATTTACATTTATCAATTATTGTGGGTAGTTTAATACTTAGCAAATATTTTCAATGAGAACTTTTATCTTTATGAATATATACAAACAAAAATGTATAGCAAGTTTACTCCTTACCTTCCGAAAATACAGTTGATTAAACTTCAACAACCTAGCCATGCTGAAACAGGGTTGATACAAATTCAATTTAAAACCTAAACTTAGGGTTGTTATAACACAATTAGTAAGGACAATGCACATGATTTTTATTGTGAGGTAATTAAAAATCATAGGGTTAATTGGGAGTACCTTCTACTGTGATTGTGGGGGAATTATCTAACCACCTATAGACAGAAGTAGCCAGTGACCACTGAATTTTGACAAAGCAGTGTCGAAGAAAAAAATTGATAAAAATTATAATATTTATATATAATAATAATAGTTCGAGGTTCTTATATAACGCTTTATCACAACCTAGTTCATAGGTCATCTCAAAGCGGTTCACAACTTATTATCCGTGGTTATAGGGCCTTTGTAACCAGCCAATACCTTTCTCAACTCCCTGGGGAGCATGCAGCCAGAGCTGCCATTTCGGTGCTAACAGCTAGCATTCAACATTTCTAGCAATGCCCAACCATGTATTCATTTACAGCTGAGTAGACTGGAACAATCGGAGTAAAGTATCTTGCTCAAAGATACAACACAGTGCCGTGCCGTGACTTGAACCTGCAACCCTTCGGTCACGAGCCCTGCATCCTACCACTAGACTACCGCATGCCTCCTATAATATATATTGCATAATAATACGTATATTTATATCTTCATGACATCTGAAGGGTCAAGATTACCCAAGCTGTCCGTCTCGGTCCGTCGTCGTATTGCTAACATTAACAAATACTTCGGGAATTTTCGATAAAAAAAACCATGATGGTATTTTAATCATGAAATGGAGAAGTGAGTTACGTCCCTTTAACTTTATTGTACACTACAGTGTAATGTATATCTGATTTGTAAAGTAAATAATATTGATGTTTTTCATTAACAAAATCTGGGATAGGCTAAATATACATATTTATCTAACGTGTGGTGATTTAAATCCAATAGGGAAAGGATTCAAATTCAAGAGATTAGATGGAAATATTCAAAAATACCCATAACTTTGTTTGTTTGTCCTCGGCGCATGATGTGATTTCCCCAATTAAGTGAACAACATTATATAAATGAGTATCGTGAGGACTTGCCGTGTAATGTTGTTTTACACTGAAATTAACAAATAGTTCATACAAATGAAGTTATATTGAATATATTAGATATGGGTACATTAATTAACAGCAATATTCTGTAATTTGGGGATTATCGTACTAGCAACTGTAGGTATAAATATACATTGTATGAAGACAT